CAGCGTCCCAGGGGTCACGTCCCTTTTGCAACCTTCTGACAAGCAGAGTCACTGAACAACCACGTCACTAACTGAACTGCACTTTAACTGTGGCAAGAAGAGTCATAAAGTGCGGCAAAAGTATCTCGAATTTTGCTTAGCAGCCGAAATTTTGAGCTCAGTTTGGTCGTAAGTTGGGGATTACCCTGGGGTCAGGTCTTTAATAACTCCCTGAACCTCCTCAGGATGGAAATTGTGTGGATGTTTGAGGAAAATCTCATTCCAGAGGGTTGACAGCTGTTGCAGCTGCCCTGGACTTTATAAATTGTAGGTTGTGTTAACTAATTTGTAATTTTGTTCCCGTGTTTTTTTTTTACAGACATGAGGAAAGCCCTGTCAAGAGATAAAGAGAAGAAATCAATTATACCGTTACCACATCCTGTCAGACCAGAAGATATTGAATAAGTCGATTCTGCGGTTGCTGTAAAATAGATCGAGAATAAAAACCTGTAGATAAATGGGAACAATCAGGATATATTTAATGCAACTGGGAGCTTTGGAAGAAAAAGAGAGAGAGAAAGAGAGTATATGCAAATATCAAATGTTTTCACTTTTAGCCTGCGCTTCTAAATCTTGTAATGCCCCCCCCCAAAGCCAGAAACAATCTTATAACTTCCATATTTCTCACGATTCGATTTTAAAAAATATTAATAAACCCAAAGGCCTCATTTCTAAGAAGGCAGGACGGCTAACGTTTTACCTTGTTGTGGAATTTTTGCATGAGTTTAATCAAATTAAAAAAAGCAAATCTTAGGTATAATGTTTGGGGAAAAAATACTCGGTTTAAAATATGAGGAGTTCAAATTGCAAAAATAAAAAGGCAAAAATGATACAACACTGGATGATTTTAAGAAGAGACTGGACAGCCATTAGTCTGAAATGGTATAGGGTCTCCTGCCTGAACGGGGTTGGACTAGATGGCCTCCAAGGTGCCTTCCAGCTCTGTTATTCTGTTACAATACAATAAAGGGGGGAAAGAAGGGAGAAAATACATCACACCATAGTTGTCCCTCTGCAAACAAATCAGGGTTTGGCATCGTCCAGGTTTTGGGGACTATAAGCCCCCATATTTCCATATTTATTTATTTATTTATTTTATTATTAAATTTATATCCCGCCCTTCTCCTTGCGGACTCAGGGCGGCTTAGTGGTGATGCTGGATTATTCAACATCTTCAAGGCAGTCAAGGGGAATGCACCCCCCCCTTGTATGCTCTTGATTGTCCTAGACCAGGGGTAGGCAACCTTGGCTCTTTTATGACTGGTGGTCTTCAACTCCCAGAATTCCTGAGCCAGCATGGCTCAGCTTGGAAACCTCTCCCTTTCCCCTCAGCATGGCTGGCTCAGGAATTCTGGGAGTTGAAGTCCACCAGTCCTAAAAGAGCCAAGGTGGCCTACCCCTGTCTTAGGTGGAAGTAAAAAAAAAAATCCAGAATGCACCTGGAGGCACTTGAAAGCCTTCAGTAACAACCCCGGCAGAGCTCTGAACTACAGATAGTCCTCGACTTACAACAGTTCATTTAGCGACCGTTCAAAGTTATAAGAGAAAAAAGCAACTTATCATGGCTTTTCACACTTATGACCGTTTGGTCACGTGATCAAAATTCAGAGGCTTGGCAACCGACTTGTATTTATGACAGTCGCAGTGTCCCGGTTGTGTGTGTGTGTGTGTGTGTGTGTGTGTACGTGTGTAAGACGTGATCCCCTTTTGTAATCTTCCTACAAGCCAACGAGGGAAGCCGGATCCACTTAAGTAACTCAACCGAGTTACTTAACAACTGCAGTGATTGCCTTAGCAACTGTGACAAGGCAGGTCATAAGATGGGGCCAAATTCACTTAAGGAACGTCTCGCTTAGTGACAGAAACGTTGGCCTCAGTTGTGGCCATAAGCAGAGGACAGCCTGTAATAATGTTATCGTCCGTGAAGCCCAAGGAATGGTGTTTGTACCATCTCCCTAACCCTGGTTTGGGACTGCGGTTGCACCATTTGGCCTTGTAGTGTTGCTCAGTCTCCACAAGTTTAAACTGTGTGGATATCAATTCCCAGAATTGCTGGCTGGGGAATTCTGGTGTTAACGCTGCTAACGTTGGATGTTTTTGCAGTGACAATAGATGGAAATGTAGCCATCTTTTTCCTTTTGCTTTTAGAGTTAGATGATGCTGGGCAGGGGGGATGTGAATTGAGAGTCCAGATAGACATAACAACACTAACAAGACAACAACTCTAGAAAGAGTGCAGAGAAGAGCAACAAAGATGATCAGGGGACTGGAGGCTAAAACATATAAGGAACGGTTGCTGGAATTGGGTATGTCTAGTCTAATGAAGAGAAGGACGAGGGGGGACATGATAGCAGTCTTCCAGTATCTCAGGGGCTGCCACAAAGAAGAGGGAGTCAAGCTATCCTCCAAAGCCCCTGAAGGCAGGACAAGAAGCAACGGATGGAAACTCATCAAGGAGAGAAGCAGCCTGGAACTAAGGAGAAACTTCCTGACAGTTAGAACAATTAACCAGTGGAACAACCTGCCTCCAGAAGCGGTGAATGCTCCAACCCTGGAAGTTTTTAAGAAGAGACTGGACAGCCTTTTGTCTGAAATGGTACAGGGTTTCCTGCCTGAGCAGGGGGTTGGACTACTAGATGACCTCCAAGGTCACTTCCAATTTTATTATTATTACTATTACTATTATCATCATCATCATCATCATCATCATCATCATCTCCAAGGTCTCTTCCAACTTTATTATTATTATTAAACCTAGGGTGAGAATCAAGGTTGTTGAAATCAGAGCTGATAAAGAATTGGGGGGCTGGAGAGCTGGAGAGGAAGCCTGCGGCTTCAAGCTAATTGGGGAGTGTGTTTATGACTGTTAATTGGAGGATACTATGCTTTGATACTATGTGCCCAGGGGAGGGGAATTCAGTTTTTGGCTTCGATTAGGTAAGTGCCGATATTATGCTACTCGAATAAAAGATCCTTTAAGGTAAAAAAATGCCTCGAAGTTCTTTTGAAGAGTTTCCTCTGTCGGAACCAGGACATCTGGCAGTTGAAGTCCACCCAGCCTAAAGTTGCTGAGGTAGAGAAACACTGACCACATGAGCGTCCACCTGCACCCTTGCCCTGCCACGGCCATCTTAACTGTTCCACCTTGCTGCTCCCAGTTAGTTTGCTTCCTCTGTCTCTGGAGAGTCTCCGTCCTCCAGGCCAGGGTCGTCCCCAAGGCACTTTTTCCAAAAGACAACTGGACTTTCTTGGTTTTTTCTCCTGGTAAATGTTTCGCTTCTCATCCGGGTCTTCAGAATATACAACTACAACTTCAGAACCGAAGAAGCTTCCTGGAATGAGAAGGAAAGCGTCTTCAAGGAAGAAACAAGAAAGTCCAGTTGCCTTTTGAAAAAAAAAAGCACCTTTGGGTGTTCTTCCTGTTCTGAGATGGTTCTCTGTTCTTTCAGGGTTTCTCCATTGCTGACCGTTCCTCCTTGTTTGGAGAATGAACTAAATAGGGGAAGGACAAGTCCAGCTTTTCCTGAGCCAGGCAGAGGGGAAAATGCTGGATCAGGATTGGGGGGGGGGCAGGGTCTTTCAACACCTTTTCTAGACAAGGAAAGTCCCTGGAGATTATGGGCAATATATTATCTATCAAGCTATCATTTATCGCTTTTGCACTCTCTCTCTCATTCATCTATCTCATATATCCTTTATCTAGCTTCATTATCTATCCCTTTATGTCCATCCATCCATATCCTTAACTACCTGTATCTCTGTATCATTCCTTCCTTCCTTCTTTCCTCTAATATATCCTTTATCCAGCTTTATTATCTATCCCTTTATGTCCATCCAATCATCCATATCTCTGTAACTATCTTATCATTCATTCATTCATTTATCTATGTAATATATCCTTTATCTAGCTTTATTATCTATCTCTTTGTCCATCCATCTATCTCTGTCACTATCTCTGTATTTCTGCATCTCTGATCTTTTTCCATTCTTCATTCATTCATTCATTCATTCATTCATTCATTCATTCATTCATCTATTATCTAATATATCCTTTATCTAGTTTTGTTATCTATCTCTTTACCCATCCATCTATATCTCTGTAACTATCTCTGTATCTCTGCATTCATTCATTCTATTATTTAATATATCCTTTATCTAGCTTTATTTATCCCTTTGTCCATCTATCCATCCATCCATATCTCTGTAACTCTTTATCTATCATTCATTCATTCATCTATTATCTAATATATCCTTTTAGCTTTATTATCTAACCTTTATGTCCATCTATCCATATCTCTGTAAGTCTGTGTCTATCTTTTTCTTTCTTTCATTCATCTATTATCTAATATATCCTTTACCTAGCTTTATTATCTATCTCTTTGTCTGTCCATCCATCCATATCTCTGTGTAACAATCTATATCTATCATTCATCCATCCATCTATTATCTATCTAATATATCCTTTGTCTAGCTTTATTATCTATCTCTTTATGTCCATCTATCCATCCATCCATCCATATCTCTGTAATTATCTGTATCTTTCATTCATTCATTCATTCATTCATTCATTCATCTATTATCTAATATATCCTTTATCTAGCTTTATTATCTATCTCTTTGTCCGTCCATCCATCCATATCTCTGTAACAATCTATATCTAACATTCATCCATCCATCTATTATCTAATATATCCTTTGTCTAGCTTTATTATCTATCTCTTTATGTCCATCCATCCATATCTCTGTAGTTATCTGTATCTTTCATTCATTCATTCATTCATTCATTCATTCATTCATTCATTCATTCATCTATTATCTAATATATCTAGCTTTATTATCTCTCTTTGTCCATCCATCCATCTAGATCTCTGTAACTATCTCTGCATCTATCTCTCCATTCCTTCTTTCATTCATTATGTATCTCTTCTTTATCTAGCTTTATTCTCTATCCCTTTATTATGTCTCCATCTTCCCAGCTGAGTATCACGTGCTCAGGCAAGGGGGGCGGCGCAGCTCACGCGCACCGGAAATCCCGCCTCCGGCTGGTGGAAGCGACGCTCTGGGGGGATCTCTATGGTCCGAGAGGGGCGGGGGGCGCCGCCTTTTCCTGTTTATTTCCTCTCTTTCTTCCGGGTTGGAGGCAATTTGGGGAGGGGGAGGGCGAAGCGGGGCCGCCGCCGGAGGGGCCGCCGGGGGAAGGACGAGGAGGCGGAGGCGAGGTGAGTCCGGCGAGGGACGGGGAGATTCGCCCACCCAAGAGGTGTGGGACTACAACTCCCATCACCCTCACCCAGGGGGAGGGGTTGGGGGGAGGATTTGTAGTCCCCCCCCTCCTAGGCGGAGGCGGCCGGTGTGCCCCGGGACAGGGAGCCCGCCCCCACCCCGCGCCGGATCCCCTTGGCCGGGCAGGAAGGGAAGCGGGGCTGGGAAGGGAGACCACCAGGAGATCCCTGGCAGGCAGAAAGAGGTCCGGTGGGGGCTTTAGCGGTTTGATTTCTGGGTTTTGATATGTTTGCTTTATTTGATGCATTCACCATTTCTTCTGGGCAGCTCACAACAAACAGAAAGAGTTTTAAAAAAAACAAACACACACCCAGGCAACCACGTACAGCTGTCCAAAAAAACCACAATTAAAAATGGAGCAAAAGGTAAAATAATAGTCCCAGCCAGAGAGTCCATTGAATATACTGTAGCTTTGCTAAACATCTGGAAGAAAACAGCCAAGCCCAGAGAGCACCAGTCCTGCCCAAAGTCGTCTCCCTCCTTCTCCTGTCCCCCCCCAACACCCCTTCCCAGCACTGATGGTGTTACCTAGTGGGGTCAGGAAACGTCTGCAAGCAAATAGCCAAGAGGACATCAAGGATCCCACAGTTCTCTTCCTCCTTCTCCTCCTCCTCTTCCCCCCCCCAATCTATTTCCCTTCTAGCACTGATCATCTCTGGATGGGTCAGGAAATGTCTGCAAGAAATCCGCCAAGCTCGGTGAGCATTGTTGAGCCCAAAGTCCTCCCCTACGCAACCCCCCCTTTTTGGCACTGATGATGTTACCTAGTTGGGTCATGAAACGTCTGCAAGAAAACCACCCAGCTCAGAGAGTACCAAGGACCCCACAGTTGTTGTCCTCCTCCTCCTCCTCTCCCCCATACTCTTCCTCTTTCTCCTCTTCCTCTTTCTCCTCCTCTCCCCTTCTCCTCCTCCTCACAAACCCCACTCGCCACTGGCGCTGATAATGTTACCTAGTTGGGTCATAAAATGTCTGCAAGAAAACAACCCAGCTCAGCAGCAAGGACTTCACAATTATTGTCTCCTCCTCCTCTTTCTCCTCCTCCTTCTCATACTCCTCCCCCCCCCCATTCCTTTCTAGCCCGGATGAACCACCCAGCTCAGAGAGCACCAAGGACCCCACAGTTGTTCTCCTCCTCCTCTCCCCCAACCCCTTCCCTTCTAGCACTGATGATGTTTCCTACTTGGGTAATGAAATGTCTGCAAGAAAAGAACCCAGCTCAGAGAGCACCAGGGACCCCCCAGGCCTTTCCTCCTCCTCCTCCTCCTCCTCCTCCTCCTCTCCACAAACCCCTCACCCTTCTAGCACTGATGATGTTACCTAGTATGGGTCATGAAACATCTGCAAGAAAACAGCCAAGCTCAGAGAGCAGCAAGGATCTCACAGTCCTCCTCCTCCTCCTGCTCCTCCTCCTCCTCTCCATGAACCCCACTCCCTTCTAGCACTGATGATGTTCCCTAGTTGGGTAATGAAACATCTGCAAGAAAATCACCAAGCTCAGGGAGCATCAAGGACCCCACAGTCCTCCTCCTCCTCCCCCCACCCCCCATTCCTTTCTAGGCTGGATAATGTTACCTAGTTGGGTCATGAAACGTCTGCAAGAAAACCACTCAGCTCAGAGAGCACCAAAGACCTCGCATTCCTCCTCCTCCTCCTCCTCCTCCTCCTCCTCCATCTCTGCAAATCCCACTCCCTTCTAACACTGATGATGTTACCTAGTTGGGTAATGAAACGTCTGCAAGAAAACAACCAAGCTCAGAGAGCATAAAGGATCCCAGTTGTTCTCCTCCTCCTCCCCCCTCCCATGATATTTATTTATTTATTTATTTATTTTTTAAGACTTATATGCCGCCCTTCTCCCCACGGGACTCAGGGCGGCTCACAGCATATTAAAACAACATAGTACATTTCCCCAATAAAAGCCAATTAAAAACCAAATATTTGTAGCTGTGTCTCTTATTAAAATCATTAAAAATTATCCCTATTTAAAATTCATATGATCTAGTTTGGGAAATGAAATATCTGCAAGGAACCAAACAAGCTCAGAGAGCACCAAGGAGCCCTCAGTTCCACCCTGAGTTACGAATAACCCTTGTGCGTTTCTTCTTTCTTGTTGTCCAAAATCTTGTCATGAAATCTGGGGAGGAGACTGAACCAGCTCCGGCGAGCCTACTGTGCAGTGGATCTTTTAAACGTTATTTAAGGATCTACGAAGAGGAATGATAGAGTCCAGATCTTTGGAATGATTCTCCCATTCTGCTCTCTTTGGGCCAGGTTTTACTCGGAATCCCGGACGCCGGACACTGCAGGGCAGAAAGGACGCTAACGCACTGGAGGGAGTTCAGCGAAGGTGCTCAAGAGCGGGAAGGGCCTGGAAACGGGTCCTTTGAAGAAAAGGGAAAAGACCTGGGTAGGTTTGCTGCAGAAGGGACGTTTGGGGAGGAGAGATGTTGGCAGTTTGGGGATATCTAAAAGGTTGCCAAGGAGAGGAGAGGCTGGATAAGTTCTGTGCTTATCTGGGAGGGCAAGACCTGGGACCAGGGGCTGAAATGGGGGCAGTAGTAGACGTCAGGAGGAATTTCCTTCAGGTGAGAATTAAGAAATTTCTAGGTTGTTTCTCTCCTTGATTAGTTTCCATCAATTGCTTCTTGTACTTTGGAGAATAGGGTGACCCCCCCCCCTTTCAGATTCCAGACTGAATAGCCCTCCATCTAAAATGCTTTTAACAGGTCCTGCACCAAATGGGGTTGGACTAGATCAGGGGTCTTCCAACGTGGCCCTTTGATGACTTGTGGACTTCAACTCCCAGAATTCCTCAGCCAGGATGCTTTAAGACAGGGGTCTTTAAACTTGGACCTTTGATGACTGGTGGACTTCAACTCCCAGAATGCCTGAGGAATTCTGGGAGTTGAAGTCCACAAGTCATCAAAGGGCCAAGTTTGAAGACCCTTGGACTAGATAATCTCTGAGGTACTTACCAATTCTGTGATTCTATGATTTCCTATCGTACTAATCTTTAAATCATCCTTCAAATTGTGTCTAGGTAACAAAAGCGCCACCCCGTGCTGGATCAAACCACCAACCATGTCTAAAGATGAAGAAAAAGTTAATTTGCGTCGCCTGGAGCCTGCCATCCAGAAGTTTATTAAAGTTGCCATTCCCACAGATCTGGAGCGATTAAGAAAACATCAGATAAATATTGAGAAGGTTATTTTTTTCTCTTTTTTAAAAAAATATATTAATCTTAAGAAGGTCTGGCAGGAGATGCATGTTGCGGGTCCCGCAAACTGGAGAATGTTGTCAGGCAGGGCCTAAGAGGAACAGTTTTGTACAGGGGGTCCTTGACTCACAGCCATTTGTTTAGTGACCGTTTGAAGCTACAACGTGACTTATGACCAGTTTTCACACTCGTGACCATTGCAGCATCTCCAGGATCACGTCATCAAAATTCAGATGCTTGGTAACTGGCTTGTATTTATGACAGTTGCAGCGTCCCGGGGTCATGCGATAGCAATAGCAATAATAGCACTTAGACTTCTATACTGCTTCACAGAGCTTGTACAGCCCTCTCTAAGGGGTTTACAGTCAGCCTGTTGCACCCCCAACAAGTTGGGTCCTCATTTTACCGACCTTGGAAGGACGGAAGGCTGAGTCAACGTTGAACTTTGTCAAGATTGAACTCCTGTGCAGCATCACGGTTTCCTTCCTTCCTTCCTTCCTTCCTTCCTTCCTTCCTTCCTTCCTTCCTTCCTTCCTTCCTTCCTCCCTCCCTCTTTCCCTCCCTCCTTCCTTCCTTCCTTCTTTCTTACCTTCCTTCCATCCATCCTTCCATCCTTCCTAAGCAATAGCACTCAGACTAATATATATCTTCACAGAGCTTGTACAGCCCTCTCTAAGGGGTTTACAGTCAGCCTGTTGCACCCCCAACAAGTTGGGTCCTCATTTTACCGACCTTGGAAGGACGGAAGGCTGAGTCAACGTTGAACTTTGTCAAGATTGAACTCCTGTGCATCACCACGGCTTCCTTCCTTCTTCACATTTCCTTCCTTCCTTCCTTCCTTCCTTCCTTCCTTCCTTCCTTCCTTCCTTTCCTTCCTTCCTTCTGCTTAAGCAGGGGGCTGGACTAGAAGACCTCCAAGGTCCCTTCCAGCTTCTATTCTATTCTATTCTATTCTATTCTATTCTATTCTATTCTATTCCTTCCTTCCTTCCTTCCTTCCTTCCTTCCTTCCTTCCTTCCTTCCTTCCTTCCTTCCTTCGCAATAGTACTCAGACTAATATACATCTTCACAGAGCTTTACAGCCCTCTCTAAGCGGTTTACAGAGTCAGCCTATTTGGCCCCCAACAATCTGAGTCCTCATTTTACCGACCTCGGAAGGAGCGAAGGCCGAGTCGACCTTGAGCCGGTGAGATTCGAACTACCAAACTGCTGGCAGCCACCAGTCAGCCGAAGTACTGCCTTCTAACCCTTTTACAACCTTCTGTCAATGGGGAAGCCAGATTCACTTAACAAGCTTGTGACTAACGACAGATGCAGGAATTCACTTAACAACCGTGGGGAGAGAGGTTGTAAAACGGGGCAAAACTCAGAACGCCTTGTTTAGTTATGGAAATTGGGGACTTCATTGTGGTTATAAGATAAGGACTACCTGTATTGGGGCCCTGCCTTGTAGAACATCACTTCTCTCCAGGTGAGGCTGGGCCCAACCCTGTTGGGGTTCCTTAAATAATGTGTCCTGGTTCCGACAGATGAAACTCTTCAAAAGAACTTCGAGGCCTTGTTTACCTTAAAGAACCTTTAATCGAGTAGCATAGCATCAGCACGTACATAGGCCAAGCCAAAATCTGAATTCCCCTCCCCTGAGCACATAATATCAAAGCACAATTCCCTCCTCTAGTTAACTGTCATAAATCACATTCTCCAATTAGTTTGAAATGCAGGCTCTCAATTCTTATCATCTCTTATTTCAATAACCTTGGTTCTCACACTAGGTTAAGCATTGTTATGTCTAGCTAAACTCCCATGCACATTTCTCCTCCTCCCCCCCCCAGTATCATCTAATTCTAACTCTAATTCTAAGAGTAAAACGTAAGAAGGAAAATGGCTGCATCTCCATCTGTTGTCAAAGCAAGAACATCTGATGTCAGCCTCCGTTGATATAATGGCTTGTCAACTAGTTTGGGGACCCCTTAATAGAGCAGAGCCTTAGCCAGTGGTATGACAGCTAACGGCACGCTCCCTGTTTATATCCTGCCGTTGTTTTTAAATCTATTAATATAAATTGGTTGTTTTAATGGTTTTTATATATTCTTGGTTATTACTGTGTAGGCCAGGGGTAGGCAACCTCGGCTCTTTTATGACTTGCGGATTTCAACTCCCAGAATTCCTGAGCCAGCCTGGCTCAGCTTGGAAACTCTCCCTTTCCCCTCAGCATGGCTGGCTCAGGAATTCTGGGAGTTGAAGTCCACCAGTCATAAAAGCCCAGGTTGCCTACCCCTGTACTAGGCCTAGGCCCCTTCATGACTCGTGGACTTCAACTCCCAGAATTCCTCAGCCAGCATGGAGGAACTATGGCCCCCTTGATGACTGGTGGACTTCAACTCCCAGAATTCCTCAGCCAGCATGGGGAAACTATGGCCCCCCTCATGACTCGTGGACTTCAACTCCCAGAATTCCTGAGCCAGCATGGGGGAACTATGGCCCCTTCATGACTCGTGGACTTCAACTCCCAGAATTCCTCAGCCAGCATGGAGGAACTATGGCCCCCTTGATGACTGGTGGACTTCAACTCCCAGAATTCCTCAGCCAGCATGGGGAAACTATGGCCCCCCTCATGACTCGTGGACTTCAACTCCCAGAATTCCTGAGCCAGCCTGGCTCAGCTTGGAAACCTCTCCCTTTCCCCTCAGCATGGCTGGCTCAGGAATTCTGGGAGTTGAAGTCCACGAGTCATAAAAGAGCCAAGGTGGCCTACCCCTAGTGTAGGCTATTCAGAGTCACTGAGATGGGCAACCTGTGATTAAAGAAAGAAATAATTTTACACCTCTGCTGAAAAATGTCCCTTTGCGCTCTGCTTTAGAGCATCCTTATTTTTCACAAGGGACGATAAAAATCCTTGCGTGATTTAGACTCAGTGCCAGATGAGATGCCGTGTTTTTGACACCCCACGTTCTCTGCTCTCTGTTGTTTGCAGTATCAGAGGTGCAGACTGTGGGACAAACTGCACGAAGAACATATCAATGCCGGGCGTACTGTTCAGGTAAGGGGACGACGGCCGTAGACGTCCGCTGGAGAAGACAGAATGCTGGGCAAATGAACCCCTTGGTAATATTTTTCTGGGGAAAGCAAACCTGCGATAACGTCTCCCCTGTTTTATGTGTCGGATGGATTTAATAATAATAATGATGATGATGATGATGATGATGATAATAATAATAATAATAATAATAATAATAATAATAATAATAATAATAATAATAATAATAATAATAATAATAAAAAAGTTGGAAGGGACCTTGGAGGTCATCTAGTCCAACCCCCTGCTCAGGCAGGAGACCCTATCCCATTTCGGACAAATGGCTGTCCAGTCTCTTCTTAAAAACTTCCAGTGTTGGAGCATTCACCGCTTCTGGAGGCAGGTGGTTCCACTGGTTAATGGTTCTCACTGTCAGGAAGTTTCTCCTTAGTTCCAGGTTGCTTCTCTCCTTGATCAGTTTCCATCCGTTGCTTCTTGTCCTGCCTTCAGGCGCTTTGGGGAATAGCTTGACTCCCTCTTCTTTGGGGCAGCCCCTGAGAGACTGGAAGGCTGCTATCATGTCCCCCCTCGTCCTTCTCTTTGTTAAACTAGACAGACCCAATTCCAGCAACCGTTCCTTATATGCTTTGGCCTCCAGTCTCCTGTGTTGCTGCTGCTGCTGCTGCTGCTGCTGCTGCTGCTGCTGCTAATAATAATAATAATAATAATAATAATAATAATAATAATAAAAAAGTTGGATGGGACCTTGGAGGTCATCTAGTCCAACCCCCTGCTCAGGCAGCAAACCCTATACCATTCCAGACAAATGGCTGTCCAGTCTCTTCTTAAAAACTTCCAGTGTTGGAGCATTCACCGCTTCTGGAGGCAGGTGGTTCCACTGGTTAATTGTTCTGACTGTCAGGAAGTTTCTCCTTAGTTCTAAGTTGCTTCTCTCCTTGATCAGTTTCCACCCGTTGCTTCTCGTCCTGCCTTCAGGCGCTTTGGAGAATAGCTTGACTCCCTCTTCTTTGGGGCAGCCCCTGAGATACTGGAAGACTGCTTTCATATCCCCCCTCGTCCTTCTCTTCATTAAACTAGACAGACCCAATTCCAGCAACTGTTCCTTATATGCTTTAGCCTCCAGTCCCCTGATCATCTCTACTGCTCTTCTCTGCCCTCTTTCTAGGGTCTCCGCATCTTTTTTACATCGTGGATTTCTTTAAAAGACACATAAACCGCCTCGTTCCTGAGTCTTGGGGCAACCTCAGCAACTTTTAAGAGGTTTGGCCCGTCTGGGGGGAATTCTGGGAAATATTAAAGTCCACACTTCTTAAAAGTTGCCAAGGTTGGGGAACACTGCTCTAGCGTGGGGTTCCTCCATCTGGGCTTAATGCTTTCGAGCCCTTTTTAGTCTATTTTAGGATTTTCCAACTTTAGTCACTTTTTTAAAAATAATATTTTATTAATTTTACAATTTTACATTTCAGTATTTTAAAAAGCAGCGTGGTGACTGGGTTAATCAGTAGTTCCATAACAAAATCTTTAGTGCAAATCTCAGGTTGCAACATCAGATATTTCTTCTCTTTTTCCCCTTAACATTTACTGTCTCGTATTCAGGCCAGTACGTTTCTAATTATATCAACTCAATAAAAACATCATTATTACGTTTATCAATAGATTTTTAGCTTATCCGTCTCTTAATTACATTCAAAACTTTAGCCACTTTTAAGACACCCATGGACTTCAACTCCCAGCATTCCCCAGCCAGTGCATTACAGCAGCACCGGAAAAAGTGACTTACGACCGTTTTTCACACTTAAGACGGTCGCAGCATCCTCCACGGTCACGTGGTCAAAATTCAGACACTTTGCAACTGGTTCATATTTACGACGGCTGCCGCGTCCCCGCAGGGTCACGTGATCCTCTTTTGCATCCTTCTGACAAGCAAAGTCGATGGAGGAAGCCAGATTCACTTAACAACCGGGTTACTAACTGCAGTGATTCGCTTAACGACCGTAGCAAGAAAGGCGTAAAATGGGGCAAAACCCGCTGAACAACTTGAGCTGAGTTGTGTTCGTAAGTTGAGGACTACCTGTATTTCAGGGTGTCCCAACTTTGGCTAATGCAGAAGTAGGGAACCTTGGCTCTTTTATGACTGGTGGACTTCAATACCCAGAATTCCTGAACCCAGCCATGCTAACTCAGGAATTCTGGGAGTTGAAGTCCACGAGTCATAAAAGGCCCATGGTTCCCCATGCTGGCTCAGGAATTCTGGGAGTTGAAGTCCACGAGTCATAAAAGGCCCATGGTTCCCCATGCTGGCTGAGGAATTCTGGGAGTTGAAGTTCACGAGTCAAAAGAGCCATGGTTCCCCATGCTGGCTGAGGAATTCTGGGAGTTGAAGTCCACGAGTCATAAAAGAGCCAAGGTTGCCTACCCGTGGGCTAGTGTAAGATGCATGGACTTCAACTCCCAGAATTCCCCAGTCGGCAATTATATTATAGATATAATAAATAGAATTCTGGGTTGTTGTTTTTTTGTATCTAGCCTGATTGGCAATTGAGGCCTAACCGAAGTAAAACGGAGGAGTCCTTTTTTTCAAACATTACAGCAGCTGCGAGCAAATATCCGAGAGATGGAGAACCTTTGTTCCCGGGTCCGGAAGGAAGATATGCTGACTTTGCAGAGAATGATTGATCCCGTGAAAGTGGATGCTTCGTTGGCCGTACAAGAATTTTTGCAGCTGCATTCGGAGTCCGCCGAAGTGCTGAAAAGACATTTCAGAGAGCAGGAGGCCGCCTCATCGGCTGCTTTGACCCGCTCTACCACCATCGGAGCAGGTACTGTTTATTTATTTATTTATTCAATTTTTTTTTTATCCTGGGCTTATTATTATTTAACAACTGTCAGCAATTTTGAGCTCAATTGTGAAGTTGAGAACTACCTGTATTTCCAGGGTTTTCCAGCTTTGGCTACTTTAAGGTGCATGCAATTCCCCAGCCAGCAGTAACTATTATATATATACATATACATATATACATTATATATACATATATATATATATAATGTTGGAAGGGACCTTGGAGGTCTTCTAGTCCAACTTTTTGCCCAAGCAGAAAACCCTATACTACCCTGGACAAGTGGCTGTACAGTCTCTTCTTCTTAAAAACTTCCAGTGTTGGAGCATTCACTGCTTCTGGAGGCAGGTTGTTCCACAGGTTAATTGTTCTAACTGTCAGGAAGTTCCTCCTTAGTTCCAGGTTGCTTCTCTCCTTGATCAGTTTCCATCCGTTGCTTCTTGTCCTGCCTTCAGAGAATTCTATAAGTATTATAGAATAAGGGTATATATACTTATAAGTATATAAATATACTTGTATAAACAGAGGCACAGAATCAAGATCACGCGAGGTATTAATACCACTTTATAAAACCCTAGTGAGGCCACACCTGGAATACTGCAGCCAATTTTGGTCACCATATTACAAAAAAGATGTTGAGAGTTTGGAGAAAATTCAGAGAAGAGCAACTAGGATGATCCAAAGCCTGGAGACTAAAACATACGAAGAACGGCTGCCGGACTTGGGTTTGGCTAGTCTAAAGAAAAGAAGATTGAAAGTCAGGCTTGTCAGATGCCCTATTTTTTTCTATCCTGCTCCATGGAGTAGAGAGTGGGTCTCTGACACAAGGCCACCTGAAGAGACCGGAAGCATTTGAAATGTGGACTGACAGGCGGCTGTTACGTAGAAGCTGGGTGGACAGGATCAGAAATGAGGAGGGGATAAGCCGCCTGGAAAAGCCCAGGGAAATCATCAAAGCAATTAAAAAACGAAAATTAGAATATTTCGGACATGTGATGCGACACCCAGAAAAATACGGCGTGCTCCATTTAACCCTCCAGGGAAAGATGGAAGGCAAACGAGGTCCAGGCAGAAGAAGAAGAACATTGTGGCTTCAAAATCTCAGGGACCGGTTTGGACAAAACCCAGCAGCACTTTTTCGTGCGGCTGCTGATAAAAACAGGATCGCCAATGTCCGATAATCGATATGGAAGAAAGAAGAAAGAAGAAGAAGAAGAAGAAAGAAGAAGAAGAAGAAGAAGAAGAAGAAGAAGGAGAGAGAGAGAGAGAGAGAGAGAGAGAGAGAGAGAGAGAGAGAGAAAGAAAGAAAGAAAGAAAGAAAGAAAGAAAGAAAGAAAGAAAGAAAGAAAGAAAGAAAGAAAGAAAGAGTAAAGAAAAGAAATAGGGAAAACAGTATTTTTCCTTGGGGTGGGCATGCTTTATAAAATCCATTGTCCAGAGCTGTAGTTGTGTAATGGTTTTTAGATGTGGTTGTGTCTGTGCGTACATTTATTTCCTGTCTTGCAGTGTTGATAGCGCACTCACTGACTTCCACGCTCTTTTCCTTCAGAAACCTTCTCTAACGCTGAAGACGGAGAAAATTCCCTTAGCCAGATTTTTGCTCCGTTGCCAGAAATCCCCCAGGATCAAAATGCTGCGGAATCCTGGGAGGTGTTAGAAGAGGTAATTTGCACATCCCATCATAATTTTCTTTTCAAACAGGGTGTTCATTTTAAAATGTCTTATTAGGACAAGGGACGTTTTGCTGAACGAAAGGTCTAAAGTTTACACTAAATTATAATTTAAAGCAATGATGTATCGTTGGTATTTAACACCGGATAAGTTGTCAAGAATGCATAAAGTTATTTTTAGAATAGAATAGAATAGAATTTAATTACAGAATAGAATAGAATAGAATAGAATAAGAAATAGAATAGAATGAAATAGAATAGAATAGAATAGAATAGAATTATGGGATAGACTAGAATTATGGGATAGAACAGACTACAATTATGGGATACAATGGAATAGAATAGAATAGAATAGAATAGAATAGAACAGAATACAGAATATAAATACAGAATAGAATAAAATAGAACAGAACAGAATAAGAAATAGAATAGAATGAAATAGAATAGAATAGAATTATGGGATAGAATAGAATAGAATAGAATAAGAAATAGAATGGAATAGAATAGAATAGAATTATGGGATAGGATAGGATAGAATAGAATAGAATAGAATAGAATAGAATAGAATAAAAAAATAGAATAGAATGGAATAGAATAGAATAAGAAATAGAATGGAATAGAATAGAATAGAATAGAATAGAATAGAATTATGGGATAGAATAGAACAGAATAGAATAGAATAAGAAATAGAATAGAATGGAATAGAATAGAATAGAATTATGGGATAGAATAGAATAGAATTATGGGATAGAATAGAATAGAATTTAATAGAATAGAACAATACAAAATACAGAATAGAATGAAATAGAATAGAATAGAATAGAATTATGGGATAGAATAGAATTATGGGATACAATAGAATAGAATTTAATAGAATAGAACAATACAGAATACAGAATAGAATGAAATAGAATAGAATAGAATAGAATTATGGGATAGAATAGAATTATGGGATAGAATAGAATAGAATTATGGGATAGAATAGAATTATGGGATAGAATAGAATAGAATTATGGGATACAATAGAATAGAATAGAATAGAATAGAATAGAATAGAATAGAGCTGGAAGGGACCTTGGAGGTCTTCTAGTCCAGCCCCCTACTCAAGCTGGAGAACCTATACTAACTGAATGTTATTTTAACTGAATGTGATTTTAACTGAATGTGATTTTAACTGATATCTTAACTGAATGGTGGAAATGCAAATGTAAAGAAGGGACTTTGTATCGTTTATGGTGGACGTGTGACAAAGCAAAGAAATATTGGAGTAGGATTCACATCTTAATACAGAAGATTCACAAAGTGAACATAAAGATAAATCCAGAGAGTTTTCTTTTGGGTTTACAATGGAAAAAGACTTCGGGGGGAAAATTTTGGGATTTTGATGTTATATATGTTGACTGCAGCAAGATTACTTTACGGACAAAAATGGAAGGAGACTTTGGTTCCCACAACGGACGAAGGGCTGCAAAAGTTGATGGAGTTAGCCGAGAGGGATAAATGGACTGCTTTGATAAAAGAAAAAAAATACATTTGATTTTGTTTCTGTTTGGAAACTGCTTTTGGCCTTCGTGCTTGAGGTGGGGGAAAAAATGAAATTTTGGTTTTGCCGGTTAAACAGGTTTGTTGTTATAAAAATGGCTAGTATATATATTATGATGTAAAAGTAAAAAGTTGACGTAGTATCTTATTATCTTATTCTACTGCACTTTTAAAAAGAGCCAGAAGTTAATGCTGTTACTTTTTTCTTTTTCCCTTTTATCCTACACATTTTTCTCTTTTACTTCTCCTCCCCTTCTCCCCCCCCTCATTATTTTCTTTTGTATTTTGTATTTATATTATATTTTGATAAACTAAAAAAAAATAGAATAAAAGAAAAACAAACCGAGGTATTAACATTTTGGTGTTTTCTTTAGGACCTGATTGAACTTAGCACTCTGGTGACTGAGTTCTCCCTGCTTGTTAATGTAAGTAGAGCAAAGATTGTTTCTCTTATTTTTCTCTGGATTCTACCACAAGAGAACCAGAATCTTAACTGGTTTTCTGTCAGGGTCCCCAAAAGCTTTAATATTCTCTGCCAGGTAAAATGATAATTTAAAGGGGGAAATGTCAACATCTCGGCAATATTTGCAGTTTGCGCAGTCATTCCATGATCCTTTCGCTGGCTAGGCCAGGGGTAGGCCACCTTGGCCCCTTCATGACTCGTGGACTTCAACTCCCAGAATTCCCGAGCCAGCATGGCTCAGCTTGGAAACCTCTCCCTTTCCCCTCAGCATGGCTGGCTCAGGAATTCTGGGAGTTGAAGTCCACGAGTCATAAAAGAGCCAAGGTTGCCTACCCCTATTCTAGGCCTTGGCTGTTTTATGACTCGTGGACTTCAACTCCCAGAATTCCTGAGCCAGCACGGCTCAGCTTGGAAACCTCTCCCTTTCCCCTCAGCATGGCTGGCTCAGGAATTCTGGGAGTTGAAGTCCACGAGTCATAAAAGAGCCAAGGTTGCCTACCCCTACTCTAGGCCTTGGCTGTTTTATGACTCGTGGACTTCAACTCCCAGAATTCCTGAGCCAGCACGGCTCAGCTTGGAAACCTCTCCCTTTCCCCTCAGCATGGCTGGCTCAGGAATTCTGGGAGTTGAAGTCCACCAGTCATAAAAGGGCCAAGGTTGCCTACCCCTGGCCTAGACAAAGGAGTCCAACTTTGGCAACTTTAAAACTTGTGGATTTCAACTCCCAGAATCCCCCAGATTAGAATAGAATAGAATATAATAGAATAGAGCTGGAAGGGACCTTGGAGATAGTAGTAGTAGTAGTAGTAGTAGTAGTGGTGATGATAATAATAATAATGATGATGATGATGATGATGATGATGATGATGATGATGATAAAGTTGGAAGGGACCTTGGAGGTCATCTAGTCCAACCCCCCGCTCATGCAGGAAGCCCTAGACCATTTCATACAAATGGCTGTCCAGTCTCTTCTTAAAAACGTCCAGTGTTGGAGCATTCACCGCTTCTGGAGGCAGGTTGTTCCACTGGTTAATTGTTCTGACTGTCAGGAAGTTTCTCCTTAGTTCTAGGTTGCTTCTCTCCTTGGTCAGTTTCCATCCATTGCTTCTTGTCCTGCCTTCAGGGGCTTTGGAGAATAGCTTGACTCCCTCTTCTTTGGGGCAGCCCCTGAGATATTGGAAGACTGCTATCATGTCTCCCCTTGTCCTTCTCTTCATTAAACTAGTCTAGGCTGGACTAGATCTTCTAGTCCAGCCCCCTGCTCAAGCAGGAGGAACTATAGGGTTTCCTGCCTGAGCAGGGGGCTGGACTAGAAGACCTCCAAGGTCTCTTCCAACTTTATTATCATCATCATCATTATTTTTATGTGCCATACGCTCCATAAATAAACGAGTCCGTGCTTTGCTTGTAGACCCAGCAGGAGAAGGTGGACCGGATCGAAGAGAACGTCTGCAGTGCCGTCGCCAACGTGGAAGAGGGAACCAGGAACTTATCCAAGGTGCGTCTGCAACAACTGCTCTCCGGTCGCCAGCTGGGAGGACTCAAATTAGCTACTCCTGCTAACAGGACCCAGTCGGTCTTGGCGCGTTTGGGCCAGCGTATCCACGAGCATTGCCAGCCGCCCTCTGCCCCAGGCCTGCCCGCGGATTCCTATCTTATTCATTTATTTATGTAAAATGTTCGTCTAGCCGCCCGTTTTTTCAGTGTTATAAGCGGCTGCCAGTCAAAGATTTTAAAAAAAACATCAAATCATTTAAAAAACCAGTCATGGATCCGTATCGCTCACCCAGAGACTCCTTTACAGGCAGTCCTCGGCTTACAGCTCCTGCTCCTCCTCCTGCTCTTCCTCCTCTCCACAGACCCTATTCCCTTCTAGCACTGATGACATTCCCTAGTTGGGTCACGAAACGTCCGCAAGAAAACAGCCAAGCTCAGAGAACACCAGGGACCCCACAGTCGTCGTCTCCTCCTCCTCCTCCTCCTCCTCCTCCTCCTCCTCCTCCTCCTCCTTCAAACCCCACACCCCACTCCCTTGTAGCACTGATGACATTCCCTAGTTGAGTCTGCATGAAAGGTCTGCATAAAAATCACCCAGCTCGGAGGGCACCCGGGACCCCCGCCATTCATCCCTGAGATACGAATATTCTCTCCGGTCGATTTCTTCCCTCTTTGGGGCTGCAGCCAGGGCTCTTCTGAGTCAAAGGGTGTTGCTGGCCTGTGTGAACAACGAGAGACCCCTCCGTTCTCTATCCGCTTCCTTCCCGTGTCCAGAGGTGACCGGCCACCGATTTCCTGCTCGTCTCCAATTCCCGCAGGACTGCTGGAGCCAGGCAGAGGGTGAGCTTGCCTGATGATGCTCTTCAAACGACCCTCTTTTTCTGCCCCTCTCTTTTTTTTCCAGGCTGCCACCTACAAGCTGGCTGCTCTCCCGGTGGCCGGCGCCCTCCTGGGGGGAATCGTCGGGGGGCCGATCGGGCTCCTGGCCGGCTTCAAAGTGGCCGGACTGGCGGCGGCGTTGGGCGGCGGCGTGCTGGGCTTCACGGGAGGGAAACTCATCCAGAGGAAGAAGCAGAAGATGATCAAGGATCTCTCCTCCGCCAGCTGCTCGGATCTTCCGCGGCCCAGCGACCAAGGGGGCAGCTGAGCCCGGAGCTGAAGCCGTCCAGACTGGTATCGCGTCTGCCCTCGCTTTGGCCCGGACTCCGGGATCATCTTCTTCTCCTCCTCCTCCTCCTCCTCCTGCTGGAAACTTTTTTTCCTCTTGAGAATGTGAAAGGGACACAATTCACCCTGGAATCACTTCTGGACTTGCAGCAGAGGGATTTGCAAGCCCGGCGCGCTCCGGCGCGCCTCGCCTGCCGTTTACACGCGGCGAAAAAGGTGTGCGCCCCGGGAACGCCTCTTAACCTGTTATCCTTGCGCCTTCACAGTGTTCACCAAATGCCTTTTTTTTTTCTTTCTCCAGGTAAAATGGAGAGGAGCAGTTTTAGCCTCTGGAAAACCTTTTTTCAGCTCCAGCGCACAAATCCTGTTTTTTATTTTACACCTGTCGGGGTTTTTTTTAATGCTTCTGGCTTCTCTGTGGCGGAATCGGCTCGCGGTGGGAGATGGTGGTTCGCGGTGGGAGATGGGGGCTCCCGTCAGGATAGACCTGCGGAGGTCAGGTGAAGAGGGGCTGAGATTTTCTGCCCTGGGGAGGGGTCTTTTGTTTGCAAATTTTAATTTTCTGGGCAGGAGAGTGGGCGTCTACCTCTCGTTTTAAAAGTGCCGCGGTCTGGAAAAGTCAGAACGGGCTATTTGGGGAGAAATTCTCTGCTTGTTGCTTATCAAGATATCTGGAACAGTATGTTTCTCAATTCTGGCAACTTTCAGATGAGTGGATTTCAACTCCCAGAATCCCTGAGTCAGCAAGGAATTCTGGGAGTTGAAGTCCACTCATCTGAACGTTTACCAATTCATTGGAGAATGCTGGGAATTGAAGTCCACACATCTGGAAAGATTGCTCTAGAACAGAGGTTGGGAGCGATGGCCCCCTTTATGACTTGTGGACTTCAACTCCCAGAATCCCTGAGTCAGCAAGGAATTCTGGGAGTGGAAGTCCACTCATCTGAAAGTTTCCCAATTCGTTGGAGAATGCTGGGAATTGAAGCCCACACATCTGGAAAAGGGAGAAACATTGCTCTAGAACAGAGGTTGGGAGCGATGGCCCCCTTTATGACTTGTGGACTTCCAACTCCCAGAATTCCTGAGTCGGCAAGGAATTCTGGGAGTTGAAGTCCACAAGCCACAAAAGCCTTCCGCAAGTCATAAACGCCGTCGTTTCTTCCTGCTCTAGAATATAAGAGGTCAAAAAATATTTGGTTCCACGCCAACTGAAGTCTAAACGTGGAAACGATCAGTTTGGAAGGGGATGTTTGTGTGTGCGAATTAAACAACCGGGGACGTGTGTTGGTTAGTTCAAAAAAGCAGCATTGCTACGACAACTCCTGTTTTTTCCTCTTTGCACAAATACGACAGCAGCTCGTCAACATTTTGCGTAGCCCCCGGAGTGGGTGACTTTAAAAAAAGAAAAATTACCTATTTGAAGTATTTGAAAATGTCTCCGGGACATGTTTTTACCTGGTGTGTTGGGTGCCATCTTTTAAGTGGGGCAAAAACGCTTTTATGGGGTTGTTTGTACGAACGCCGGGTGCCCCGCGCATCCTCCGATGAATAAAAAGGGTTTTAAAAAAGAAGTTTTAAAAAAAGAAACGGGTTTTATGAAGTTTTTGCTGATGTGGCAGTCAGGGAATAACGAGGAGGTTTATTTCCTCGTTAGGTTTTGCTGACTGCTGATCCGCGTGGCAGGCGCCCCGGGAGAAGAAAGCAGAAAGATGCACGCTTTATTTGGGGAAGGGGAGATTATTAAACCCCTGCAGGGCAATTCTAGACCCCCCCCAAATTACAGGTGATTCTCAACTTACCACAGTCTGTTTAGTGACCGTTCAGAGTTACAACGGCACTGAAAAATGCGACTTACGACCGTTTTTCACACCGTCGCAGCATCCTCTTTTGGTCATGTGATCAAAATTAATAATAATAAAGTTGGAAGGGACCTTGGAGGTCATCTAGTCCAACCCCCTGCTCAGGCTGGAAACTCTATCCCATTTCGGACAAATGGCTGTCCGGTCTCTTCTTAAAAACTTCCAGTGTTGGAGAAGGGAGGGAGGGAGGGAAGGAGAAGGAAGGAAGGAAGGAAGGAAGGAAGGAAGGAAGGAAGGAAGAATAACAATAACAGATGGAAGGGACCCTGGAGGTCTTCTAGTCCAACCCCCTGCTCAGGCAGGAAACCCTACACCATTTTTCAGACAAATGGTTGTCCAATCTCTTTTTAAAAACTTCCAGTTTTGGAGCATTCACCGCTTCTGGAGGCAAGGAGTTCCACGGGTTAATTGTTCTCACTGTCAGGAAGTTTCAGACGCTCGGCAACTGACTCACATTCGTGACGGTCGCAGCGTCCCGTGTGTGTGTGTGTGTCACACGATCCCCTTTTGCGACTTTCTGACAGGCCGAGTCAAGGGGGGGGGGAAGCCAGATTCACTTAACAACCACGTTACTAACTGCAGTGATTCGCTTAACCGCCGGGGCCAGGAAAGTCGTAAAACGGGGCAAAATTCACTCAACGGTCTCGCTAAGCAGCGGAAAATTTGGCGCTCGGTTTTGGCCGTAAGTCGAGGACTGCCTGTACCGTGGGATACTGCACCGGTCAATGCTGTCCTGGCACGATGCCTTGCGACGGACAGCCTCGTTGGCCGCAGACCTGGACCGATGCTGCTGCCTGCTGGGTCCAGCCAGATGGGGGGCTCAGCTGGTTTGGAGATGGGAACTGCTCTGAGCCAGGATGGGACAGTGAGGTTTGCAAAGGGCCACAGGGGGGCAGCAGGACACAAACCAGAGGAAGAGGGACCCCCAGTTCAGCTAAAGCAGGGGTAGTCAACCTTGGCTCTTTCATGACTCGTGGACTTCAACTCCCAGAATTCCTGAGCCAGCCATGCTGAGGGGAAGGGAGAGGTTTCCAAGCTGAGCCATGCTGGCTCAGGAATTCTGGGAGTTGAAGTCCACGAGTCATGACGGGGCCGTAGTTCCCCCATGCTGGCTCAGGAATTCTGGGAGTTGAAGTCCAGGAGTCATAAAAGAGCCAAGGTTGCCTATCCCTGTCCTAAGTCCTCCTGCTCTAAGTGGTGAGCCTCCTAGAGCAGGGGTAGTCAACCTTGACTCTTTTATGACTCGTGGACTTCAACTCCCAGAATTCCTGAGCCAGCCATGCTGAGGGGAAAGGGAGAGGTTTCCAAGCTGAGCCATGCTGGCTCAGGAATTCTGGGAGTTGAAGTCCACGAGTCATGAAGGGGCCACAGTTCCCCCATGCTGGCTCAGGAATTCTGGGAGTTGAAGTCCACGAGTCATGAGGGGGGCATAGTTCCCCCATTCTGGCTCAGGAATTCTGGGAGTTGAAGTCCACGAGTCATAAAAGAGCCAAGGTTGCCTACCCCTGAGCTAAAGGAATAGTAACAGGCTGATGATAACAGGGGTCCCTGCATTTTGGGGAGGGGGTGGTGCAAGAAGGTTTCTTCCTATGTTTTAGCCTCCAGGCCTTTAATCATCTTACTTGCTCTTCTCTGCCCTTTTTCCAAAGTCTCAACCTCTTTTTCGTAACGTGGTGACCAAAACCGCAGTATTCCAGATGTGGCCTTACTAAGGATTTGGGCCACATTTGGGCTGCAAGATCACCTCAGATGGGGACTGCAGCCAAGAAATTAAAAGACGCTGGCTCCTGGGGAGGAAAGCCATGGCAAATCTAGACAGCATCCTAAAAAGCAGAGACATCACCCTGCCAACAAAAGGGCGTGTAGTCAAGGCCATGGTTTTCCCAGTTGCAATGGATGGCTGTGGAAGTTGGACCATAAGAAAGGCTGAGCGCCAAAGAATGGAGGCCTTTGAACTCTGGTGCTGGAGAAGACTCCTGCGAGTCCCCTGGACTGCAAGGCGATCCAACCGGTCAGTCCTGGAGGAGATCAACCCCGACTGCTCTTGAGAAGGCCAGATCCTGAAGTTGAAACTCAAGGACTTTGGCCACCTAATGAGAAGGAAGGACTCCCTGGAGAAGAGCCTCATGCTGGGAAAGATGGAGGGCAAGAGAAGAAGGGGACGACAGAGAAGGAGGTGGCTGGATGGAGTCCCTGAAGCAGGAGGCCTGAGCTTCAATGGACTCCAGAAGATGGTGGAGGACAGGAAGGCCTGGAGGAACGTGGTCCATGGGGTCGCGATGGGTCGGACACGACTTCGCAACTAACAACAACAACACTTAACGTGATTTTGATTCTGTGCCTCTGTTTATGCAACCCAGGATTGAATTAGCTTATTTTTGCTTTGGCTAATGCGTAAATGCACTTTGCACTGCCTGTTCTGAGATCCCTTTGGCACTTTCTGACCTCAGTCCCTCGCCCTGGGATTCCCTGGTGGTCTCCCCTCCCAAGAAGGAATCTGGTGGGCTGTCTATGGAGATTCTCCGCCATCCAGGTCCTGGTAATCCCACTTTTTCAGGAGGCAACTGGACTTTCTTGTTTTTCCTTTGAAGACATTTTGCTTATCCAAGAAGGTTCTTCGGCTCTGACTGGAATGGTGGGGAATGGAAGGATTTATACTCCTTGCAGACAGCCGGTCATTTGCATCCTTTTAGAGGGTTGTTGAGGCCACCTGGAGGCTCACCTGTGTCCTCAGGGTCACCTGAGCGGTGCAAATGGGTGTGCAGCCTTCTTGAAACTGCTGAAAGGACTGTGTGGTAGACCGGGGATAGAGGATGTCCTATCCCTCCCCCTCTTGAGGGATGTCCTATCCCAGCCCCCCCTTGAGGGAGGGCTGTTCAATTTTGAGATAGATGGCCTCTTTGGTCCCTCTTTCAAACCAGCGGTCCTGTCTGTCCAGAATGTGGACTTTGTTGTCTTCTAAAGACTGGTCTTCGTCTTCTAAAGGCAGATGGAGGCGCTGAATCTTGTCCTGATGGATTTGCTCTCCTAGGTCAGAAGTCTTCAAACTTGGCCCTTTTATGACTTGGCTGAGGAATTCTGGGAGTTGAAGTCCCCGAGTCATCAAAGGGCCAAGTTGGAA